GGTCCTATCTCAGCAGACAATCATAAAACGGTTGCAAAACTGTTGAGTCTGCTGAACGCAGCCAATGTGAATCCAGCAAATGAGCGCGTTCAAAACGGACAACATCGCTAGTCTGTTCGCCGAGTGATTGAACGTGATTGGTTGGATCTATAAGTAACAACCAATGGCTGCGTTTAGCAGAGAAAACTAATCAGACTATGTTCGTATATTGGCTACGTTTACACCGTGCATTTAGGCCGCGGCCTAACAATAGACGTCCTTGTTTATCCTGTATATTAAACAAAGACACCTATCGTATAGATCGCGAACTAAGCGCACGGTGTAAACGTAGCCAATACTACCAGTTAATTGCCAGTACTGAAAATCTATAGTTCCCGTTACGTATATTATACTGTATTAACAACTAGCAGTAATATACAAACACGGCCTCAGTTAAAGCTTAGTGACTCTTTAATATGATTAGTTCCTATATTTACATCTAGCGAAGAACTAAAGGTAAGGGCACACAAAAAACTTAAGGCAGTAAGACGTAAGCAGTAAGGAAATCACTGGCTGCGTTCAGCAGACTCAACAGTTTTGCAACCGTTTTATGATTGTCTGCTGAGATAGGACCATTCTTCTAGATCTAAAAGTATGATCCAATCAGCGCGAAGGAAACTTCCAACAGTTGCAAAATAAACGTTCTGCTGAACGCAGCCAATATGTTGAATTGGCTACTGCTTATTTCTTACAGACTCTCTACTGTGATTGGTCAATTCACTTACTGCTTACGTTTTACTGCTTATGTTTTTTTGTGTATCATGACCCTAAAGCCCATGGCACATACAAAAACGTAAGGCCGTAATACGTAAGCAATAAAGAAATCGTAAGATTGGATTCGCTACTGGCCTTACGGTCTCTATCGTGATTGGCCAATTCGCTTACTGATTATGTCTTACGGCCTTACGTTTTTGTATGTGCCATGGGCTTAAGAACCAATCATATTACAGAATCACTAAACGCTAACTAATTTTGCTGTCACAGCGTGTTGCGTATAAAAAGTCAATTTTAACTGCTTGTTCATGCTGACACACTTTTTAACGTCAAATAGGTCACGTGATAAAAATTAGCTAACATCAAGCGTCAATTTTGATCAGATGACTTGCTTTGACGCTAAAAATGAGCGTCGAGAAAAAGTCATCGAAAAGTCATGAAAAAGTACCTTATTTAAACGAAGATTCCACATATTTTATACGTTAAAATTGCATATGTCGTATTATTTAAAATTTTGTGTAGCCTATTTTAATTATATACTATTGATCCGTATTTAAAATTCTCTTTTACGATATATATGTTAGAGCAAATTTAGTATATATAACGTTACGTATACTTTTTAATATACATATATTATATAAAATAAATAATATATTATGTAAAATATATAACATTTCAGCAAGAATTAATAATAATGGTTATAGAATCGATGTCTAAATAATTGATATCAACTTGGATATAACAATTCGATAAGTCACTACTAATTATTGGGATGATATACTTTTAATAACATAATTTCGTAACGAAAAATGAATTTTGCACAAAGTTTTTACACAAAAAGATGCGACTGTCACTGCAATTTCGTGATAAGACTTTAATTCTAATTCATCTATGCAATCTTTTATCGTGTCGCATTGGGAATCTACTTTACAAACACCGATTGTTAAAAAAAGATTTGCTTTCCTTGAAGATGCATTAAGTTATATCGCAACTTGAAATGTTCCGAAAACAAGATAAGTAATCCCTTTGTACATAACTGAAATTCTTCGTATCTTGATATGACTTATCGGAAATACTTCAACAATCCGTATATCAGATGCACGTGCGTTTTTGATAAAAATAAAAAAAGCTAGGGATTCCTAAAATATAAAAATTTATTAACTTTAATAATTTCATATCTACAAATATTACTTTATAAATTTATTTTCAAACTGTATTTTTATTTTCTATCTCTAAACAACAAAAAACAAGGCTTTTTGTAAAAATTTTTCGTAAGAATAATTATTTTGTATAAAATCATCGACAGTAAAATATTTCGTATTTTTCTATGCATGTTACAATATGCTAAAATAATGAAAGTGAGCATATATGTATACAAAATTAACGGATGTAACAACTGTGGCATAACGACGCCTTCGATGTGTCGATGATGTCACGCGACGTGTACGATCGCGCGACTGTTCACCTGTGAATCTCTCGATACCGTGGTCATTTTCATCGATATATTTTCGTACCTCCAGCAAACGCGACATATCTGACATGCGGAACGACATCATTTTATCACTCGCGAGGAAGAGGCGAGTCGATTGTAACGATTTTTGCCCATTTAATTGGTGCAATTCCGCAATATCCGGGATAACCTCAATCTTTCGACGCTCTCAAAGTAGAACGCTACCTCGCCGCGGCGCCACCGTCGTTACCGTCGCTGTTGTCACATTCCTCTCCTGTCGTCCATAGCCCCTATCCACAGTCTCGTATGGGCTGCCGACAGTATCAGTGAGAGAGGTTTTCGTCACCGATTTAACGTAAATATCACATTTACTGGAGGACTTCGAACCGATTCCGCCGTATGTTCCGCCGTGATCGTTGAACTCGCGCTTGCTCGCGCGGCTCGCCATCCACTGTCACTTTGCCGTTCGTTCTCGCCTCGTGCATATCCGTTTCCGCGATAACCAAAAAGCTCCGTCCTGCGGGCAGGCAGTTCTCGCTATAAATCGCGTGATAAATCCGTGCTTTATCGCGATACCCTCGCGATCGTTTACCGATCTCACATCCGGTGTTGATGGAAGATACTTGGAATCTTCGGCGTTCCCCGCAGCCTGTGCCGTTCACTATAAATCCTGTTGCTTGCGTTAGCTGATTGTTATATATAAATATATATATATTAATAAATAATTCGCATCCCATCTCGTTTTTGTATTTTGTGCTGTTTACGTCGGCGACTCCATTCATAAACTTTGCCGATGTGCGGCAGCTTCTGTGTTTCGTCGCTCTCAGTTGTTCCTAATAAATGATTCATTAATTGTTTATTTTACTATCAAATATCTTATTGTTGTTGTAAAATCTTGCCATATATTTATCCTACATGATTACATAAATTGTAAATATGTGATATATGCACTGCATGGAATATATATATATATATATGCGTTTAATATTGTAGTTTCTATTTTTATCACATTATTTAATATATTTTTAGCGAATTATTGTATAATAAGATAATTTGGTACATGTGAAGAATGTAACAAATTGGAAATGTAAATTCTAATTTTATTTTATTTTTTGATTATTTTCTATATTTTTTATACATGTAGATTTATATTTCTATATAGCATTCTTGTTGTGGTAATTAATTAAATACTGGTAGATTTAATTGTGCTGTCTCCATATACTTCCAAAATTTTTGTAGCTCTTAAGATATATAAATATAATAGCTATATATATATATATATCTTCATTTTATTTTTATTACAGATGATTGTTTAAACAAATAAAACAGCTCTAATTTTAGTCGTAATTGTTTCTTAAGAAATATAAGCACAATCAACGAAAGAAAGATGAAGGTTGTAGCATTGATCAGTGGTGGCAAAGATTCTTGCTTTAATATGATGCAGTGTGTAGCTGCTGGCCATGAGATCGTAGCTCTAGCTAATTTGTATCCTGTTGAAAAAGGTATTAAAACAAATAATGTATTATGTGGAACATTTAGCTATATATTGCTAATGGATACATAAATTTTAACTGCATTTAATTTATATATTTAATTTCATTTTTATATTATAAATATTATAATTTATAATTTATGCAGATGTAACATAGGGGTTAACGCACTGCTTCTAGATGATCTGGATTCATTTATGTTCCAAACGGTAGGACATCAAGGTGTTAAGTACATTGCTCAAGCTATAGGCTTGCCTATATATCGTTATCCAACGTTTGGTAAAGCAAACGTGCAAGAGAAATATTATTATCCTACAGAAAGTGATGAAGTTGAAGATCTTTTTAAGCTTTTGAGTACAGTAAAGGTAAATTAACTTTTATATTTTCTAAGCTATATACATGTGATATCAATCTTTGTATCAATTCCAATAATTATACATATTTTTTCAATACATATTTTTTCAGGAACGTGAAAATATAGAGGCTGTGTCAAGCGGTGCTATTCTTAGTGATTATCAACGAATTCGTGTGGAAAATGTGTAATTATTATTTATTTCTTCTATTTGAATCTGTAATATTATTAGTTGCTACTATTAATTTTTTTCGAATATATTTTTCGTATAGGTGCAATCGTTTAGGTCTTATTTCCTTGTCGTATTTATGGAGACGGGACCAGGATGAGCTGTTGAATGAAATGATACAGAGTTCTGTTAACGCAATATTGATTAAAGTTGCAGCTTTAGGCCTTGAAATAAAACATTTGGGTAAATCTATATGTGACATGCAACCTCATCTCATTAAGATAGTAAGTCAAATTGTTTCTTATTTAATTAAATATGATACAATGAGTGTTCGTTATTATATTTGTTAATGTATAATAAATTTTTATAAT